AGGTCGGGCGTTCCTGGACTTTTTCTACTCATAAAAATCGCTCGCAAAGCGAACAATCCCACTGCACAGAGTAGCTATATATAGAGTGTTCAAAGAAATATCCGGATTTTGATTAATATTAAAGTAGTCTGTAATTTATTTATTGTATTTATTTACGTATATACTTTATAACGTTATAGTGTTAATGAAATTACGCTTAAATAATTTTTTATTGTTATAAAATATAAAAGGTTACTCACTCAACAAAAATTCTGCCTTACTCACATTTCTAAAATCTTACGCAACCAAGGGTTTTCCTCAAACGACTTTGATCTGTCGACGTATTTTGTATCCGTAATCCGCGTGTAAAAAACGCACATAGAATTTATAAGTAATTCTTTCAGAATGTTATAAATGCCTAATGTAACCTAAGATTCGATTCGCTCGAAACTTATTGTGCCATATTAGCTTTTTCTTAATGATTACCTACTAAAAGTCGGAGGATGATGTTGTTAAACAGCCTTTAAGCTTCATAATTAAGTTCTCAAACTCATAAACCTTTGTATTCTGCCACACAGTACTTATAACCTTTTCTTTAATTATCTCTTGAACAAAATGCTAAATTCTTTAACAGTTAATATAAACAATGTTTATATGAACAAGTTTTCCAAATCCAGTAAAATATAAGTAAACATAAACCGGTGTGTTCATTCAATGCCAATCAAATAGACGCAGCTGTCTCGTCCGGCGGCAACATTCGCGCCGCAACTTTCCATACAATGCTACTTGACGACAATAAATATTCAACAATCGTTTTTAATGCGTTGAACGGAAAAAAATATCGGAAACGGGATTGCGGCGTAAACAAAAATGTGTAAAATAAACTAAATATAAGGTATGAAATACTGGATTTATATATATATGATATTTATACAAATATTATATGTAAATTAGTTTTTTTATTATATTTTAGTTTATTATATGTATGTTAGATAAGAGAAGGTGCTGTCTCCTGAAACACAGTATTTACTAGTTCAGGAGACAGAGCCTACAAAATTTTTGTGAAAATGTTTTTTTTTTTTGGTCAATAAAGGATTTTTATAAAGGATAAAGGATAATGACGAGAATTGAGAAAGGTCAAGTTTAAATATGGCGGCATTATTAGCTACATTTATATGTTACTAACTGTCGACTTCATCTCCGTCCGCTTAGAATTAAAAGAAACCTAATTTGTTGTCTATGTGTTCTTTCAGACTATGCTCTACATCTATGCAAAATTTCATCGAGACATGTTGAGTCGTTTTGGATATACGTCGATTCATCATTAAAATACTTTAATGAACCAGCCATTTTAAAATACTATAACCGGATGCATAGCAATCGAAGGTTACTTTTGGTTACTCTGAAATAATTTAAATATTATTTTCATTAGTATTGTCTGTATTGTAGGTACTCTGTGACAGTGAGAGTGGCCGTGCGGCGCAGGCTAACAACCGCGTTATGTGCCCGATAGACTTTTTTTAACAAACATTTTACGTCTGTGGCGCATGGATTTCTA